GCAGGAAGTTCTTCATGACCTGCCTCCCCGCCCGTAGTGTGAGGAACAAATGAATCAACTAATACTGTACTTTGAGTGAGCGGAACGTTCTACCTCTGGGAGCCATCTCATTAGCGTCACACACACACACACACACACACACACACACACACACACACACACACACACACAAGCGGTTTTATTTTACTCCAGCACTTAGGAAATGGTTTGAGGCTTGTGCAATTAATAAGGCTAATGGTTATTGGCCAGTAGCTCATAGTGATCAGTGTTTGAGATTTATCCACTCGGTAAACACAACACTTAAAAGGTTAACATAACCCACCAGGAGCTACTTTCACTTTATCACACAGTGTCAAGTTTTAATTTCCAATTTCCACAATGGGGCCATTGAATGAAACAACACATTTTATGGCTAAATTGCACGATCGGAGCTTTGAAATGTAATAATGACAATACTAAGTCACAATTAACTATTTCTTTCTGACAATGTTGTGATATTGAAATTGATGCTCCCTGTTCGGTGAAGGTGAGCTCTTAATTTGATTGGAGTGACCTTAAATTGGATTTTCCACAGCAAGTGCTTTCATTCTCCTCGAAAGTGACAGTATTTAAGACTGTTGAATTGTCTTAAATACTGTTTGACATTTTATAAGAACTACAATAATTGAGGGCATGAGTTGGTTTTGTTGTGTGTAGTTTCAGGTAGCTTTTGGTCAATTTTAATACAGTCTATTAAACATTTGCATACAAATGTCTTAAGATATTGTGATGCAGTACACCATACCAGGAGTGGCACATTGGCCACATCTGGTATGGTGTAGGTATGGTCTTATAAAGCCCACTGAGCGGCGAAGGTTTGTGAGAGTTTGCAAACGTATTGAATCTCCATTGTGAGAAGAAAAAAGGTTTTGTTATTCTGATTCTTAATGTTGATTTTTCTTCTTGTTTTTTTTCTTGTCGAAAGGAAAATTTTGAACATATTCTTCTCGTGACAAGAAAAACATTGCAACCATTAAAACTATTAGCGAATGTCTTTGCTACCGTTTGCGACCTTGAACGAACCCTGGTGAAAAAAAAAAAAAAACATATTTGCTGCGTTCGCAAATTCCCACAAACCTCAGTGGTATACGGGCTGAATCATACGTACGAAGTATTACTTCTAAGTAACCCCTTTTCTAACATTTGGGCCATCTTTTTGTCAAATGCATTTTTCCTTACTAAAAAAGAGCGCCTATGTGGAACTGGGAGTCGCGGCTTGGAATTGAAGCGGATTTACATGGGATAGGAGAAGAGAGCCAATCTCTTTTTCGTTAATGGACGCTACAGCTTCTTGTTGCTTTCAAACGTAGCTTGTAGCAGACGTGCGCACATTTTCGGCACGATGTCTTTGATCCTCTGGTGAAAAGGACACTTTGATTCACTCCTCTTTCATCTATAACTGTTTCAAACAACAGTGTATGCAGAAAAAGTGCTTAAGATTTCACGACTGTCTGTGTCTTATGTGTTGTGTTGTATTATTTTGTCATTTTATGTTAACTGTTATATTAATGACGGTGCGGGCATCCGCAGCAGCTCCTCTTGTTGTCTGGTTGAGAGGGAAGAAATGTCATCTGTGCTGTATGTTGCACATAGAGTGCATTTGACAATAAAGTTGTACTTGACTTGATGCTTTTCACATATTTATGACTCACTCCAATTATGAGCTGCATGCAGGGAAGATGGTGCGTGCTTCTTTCTGTGGACCGATTATGATAGTCTTTGCATCTGCAAAGTTGTGAAGAGTAACAATGTTGATATTGGAGTTTAATTTGATCCCACTTGAAGCCAAGTGGACATTTATGCTAATAGTCACAATTTCGCTACACAGACATGTGCGACGTGTCGATGACGTGACGGCAGCTTTTAATAGATGTCTTGAAAACTGATTGCCCTGTTTGCCCCCAACCTTTGTAGCTTCTCCCGCCTCGCTCCCCTATCAGTTTCCTCAATCCTCTTGAGGAAAGTTTTTGTTTTAGCCTTATCTGACTGCAGCACACGCAGCTCCAAATCCGTGCACGCGTATATCTGGACCATGGCCAATCAGAGAGCGGATGCACCCTTCGCTTTTTCTGATTGGTTCCGACCACAATGTGCCTAATGTGTGTTCTCGTTGAACCCAACGGGGGGTTTCCGAGTCGCGTAAACTTTGAAAATTGGTCATACCGGAACGACGTCGTATTTTTTTAGGCACACGGACGAAATTCATCACTGTGGCTTTAATCGATGAGATCGTTGCAAAAGAAACAAATCGCTGCATTCTTAAAAAAAAAAAAAAAAAGACAAAATACACTTCAGCCCACTTTGAATAGAAAATAGACACCTTAGGATATAAAAGATGAGAGTAAATGCACATCAGCATCGTCTAATTTTCTCCGAATTTTTCGTGCGGCCCTTGTAATGGATTTGATGAAGGTGTTCCTAATGAAGTGGCCAGCAAGGACTTTGTCCTGTGTAATGGACTGCAGAGGCCCGGACCACCGGCACCTGGTGGTACCTGCAGCATGTGGCTGCCTGTCCTCTCCTGCTCTTCCTCGCAGCTTTTTGGTGCACTGCAGTTCTGGAATCTTTCAGACTGTGCTGCATTGATATTCAAAGCCTGTGTCCGATCCCCATCGCTGCTCTCCTTCTCTCTCTCTGTCTCTCTCTCTCTCTCTCTCTCTCTCTCTCTCTCTCTCTCTCTGTCTCCCCCTTGCTCTCACTCTGTCGGTCGTCCTCTCTTTTTCTACCATGTCCAAGTTAAATAGTCTTAACAGCTGTTCTGTAAAACTAACACTCCACTCGAATCTCCCTTGGAGATTCTCCGACAGAATGAACGATTGCCTCTCTGAGTTGCAATTTCATGACACTTAGTGAAACGGAGGTAAGGCATCGTTTATGCTGTACCTTATGGTACTGCACGTCTCGAGCTGCGTCAAAAAAATCACCCTCAATTTTGATTGACACCAGGTAATATCAGATAAGTATTTATTTTACGCCATACCATATGGCTGCCATAGACCAGACTAGGGATCGACTGTAGCTGAGAACAGACGACTAGAAATGATCAAAGTACACCAGACATGCTAATGTTAGCGTACCCCATTGCTCTGCTTAGGTCTGTCACGATAATTACGATGTCGACATCATTTAAGGAATAAAATGGCCACCATTTTTTTTTTCGGACTTGATAAATGGTCATAAATGTGTGTTTGTTTACATTTGTCATCCGTTAGTTGCACTTATTCATTTCCTCTCCTTTCAATCACTTTGCTTGCCGCTGGGTGAGTTGCCACTCACCCGCGCACACACACTAGGGGGTGGGACAGCTTTTAAAAATCATTTAAACAATTTGGTCCGACTGTTTCAGTTTAGTTTGCACGTGTCCCGTCAATTTATCGGCATGAGTAACTCTTTATCTCATTTATTAATGAGGCACAGCAGTGTACAGTGGCACTAATGGTAGCGGAGTAACTGCTAATGCTAGCCAACGCAACCATGCACGTCCGCTAATAGCTATCTTCTTTACTGCTCCTTTTGTACTGTGTCATTGCTAGCTTATTGCAAATTCATTTCGTGTCCTACGTAGCTGGGGAACATTATTGTGTATTATTTTCTCTCCAGACACTTATTACTTAGCTATTCTAAGCTGGTTACTCACTGCTATAACGCGGTTCCAGTCAGACTTATGTGACAAGTGTGCCTTTTCAGCCAATCACTTATTTTGATGTTTCACATCTACATCTCTGTCATGACAGCTGAACAATTGACATGGTTTCACTGTCTTTCTCCCTGTTCTCGTTTCATGATAGAGGTACGAGTCAGAAATGTAGCTTATTATCCACTGCCATGGTGGCGGTGTTCAGGGAGTTGTGGTGACACCGGACGCGAATTGAACTTGCGGCCCTGCATCGTGTTTGGCCACATTAATTTGCCAACCATAGCTCGCGGGGAGCTGCGGTGCCCAAAATAGTAATCACCAAGCATTCCCCAATTCCAACAGCATAGAGCAATGCAGGATGTTTTTTTCGAAACGGTTCCTGCTTTATCGGAATTCTGAACATGTCTTTGCGTGAGGATGACTTGTCCATACAGAAAATGACTTTCCATCACTTTTGGGCACTTGACCTTAACAACTTTGGAATTATAATAATGCAATGAGTGTCATAAGTTGGTGGTACATTATCCATCTATCCATCCATTTTTGAATCTGCTTATCTTCACGAGGGTCGCCGGAGTGCTGGAGCTGATCCCAGCTGTCTTCGAGCAGTAGGTGGCGTACACCCTGAAATGGTTGCCAGCCAATCACAGGGCACATATAGACGAACAACCTTTCGCTCTCACACTGATACCTCGGAAGAATCTTTGGAAAGTGAGAGGAAACTGCAGTACCCGGAAGAAAGCCCACGCAGGCACGGGGAGACCATGCAAACTTCACACACAAGAAGGCCGGAGCCGGAATCGAACCCTGCACTTCTGCACTGTGAGGGCAACGTGCTAACCAGTCCTTCCCCCCATGGTACATCAGTGTGGCTTAAACCTGATGGGTGGGGGTGGGGGGGCTGTACCTGGACTGTACCCCCATTAGAGCCATCACTATTTCGCTGACTTCTTTCTCTTTGCCTCTTTTGCCTTTCCAACATCTCCTCTCATCCATCATCAGGTACAATTTTTTTGAATGTCATTTTTTTACATGCCACAACACTTCACAAATGGGGAAAAAATGCCTTGTCGCGCACACACACACACACACACACACACACACACACACACACACACACACACACACACACACACACACACACACACACAGATGCTCGCAAAGACGCACAGCACCCCCCGCTGCCTGCCGACATGGTACAGGCTGCGCAGTGAGATGGCCCCGGCTGAGGCAGCAGCACAGTGAGTGAGAGAGAGAGCTGCTCGCAGCCTCAGTCTCCTCACACACTTACACACACACATGCACATACACGCACACACTCACAAACACAGTCACACACCTACATTCACATTCTCGCACACACGCACACACACATACATTGACACACACACATAGCACACATTGCTGCGGTGGTTAGTCCGACACCGCGCAAGCCGCATGTGCTGGTGCGCTCGCAGGTGGATTGTAGGACTGCTGGTGCCTGTAACCTTGATGTTATGTAAGTGCTTTTCGTGTTGTTTTTGTCTGTTGTGTGGATTGAGATGCAAATCGTGAGAATTAGAAACGGAATGTGTGTTTACGGCCCCTGTTATGTATGTACACTGCACATCTTCACAGCTGACTCCCGCTTTTTGTCATCCGTTGGAATTAGTAAGGGACCGTTATGCCAGTGTTGGTGGCGGCGACCGGCGAGCATGTCCGATAAATGGCTGTCTCATAGCGGATTCGAATGCCCACGGTGGCCACTTTGGCACATATGTCAATGCGCCCAAAGATCACTGTTAAGACATGCGGGATGCCCATGGAGTTGATGATATCCACTATTGGAAAGCTGGGATGCCTGCATGACCTTAACCATACGACTGCGTCACCGCTTTCAAGTCCCTCTGCTGCTCACCATTTTATGCAAACTGCTTTCGTTGTCCATCTTCATATTTTTCAGTGTGAGATTTTTATTTTTAAACATCTCATTACTACAGTGGATGGTGGTACCCAAACAGAAGGGTGCCATAACATGGTCCAGTACGAATCAGTTATGACTGGATTGTTCCATTAATGCCCCATATGGTTGACACGCTAGCAAAAAAGATGTTCAAAAATGGTCATGTAAAGACGAGTTCTTTCGGAACCTTTCGCAACCCTACTGAACAGTACCAAAACATACAACATAGTGGAAATGGGCCCACAAGAACAGACGAGTTTTGTTGCGCATCCTTTCACCATACTAATCTCTTGATTTAAAAATTTCCTTCAGTTTGGAAGTCAGCTTTTGCTGTGCCTCTCTTAAAAGGTGATACAACTGCATGTTTTAACTAACAACAGGCCAATATCCAATTTGTGCGTCTTGTATATTCACATCACCAAAAAAGTTGTGTTTTTACGCCCAAGTGAAATTACAGTTCCAACTTGGTGAGAACAGTGCAGGGAAGGTACCAGCTTTGTGGCAGATATCTCAATAGAAGGGTGCCTAAATTATTTTGGTACCCTTCAACCTTACGAAAATTGACCGGACCATACTAGCCTGTCTTTTCCTGCTTTGTGAAAGGCCATTTTCTGTTCTTTTACTTGTACCATAGCCACTGTGTCTGGTACGTCAACAGTGGGGTGTGAAATGGTACAGTACTGATTGGTGATTTCTGCACTGTTCCAGAAAAACTTTTTTTTTTTTCCAGTTCCTTTAGGTCCTGTCTCGACTGTGGTTGGTACACTTTACCAAATTGTTGACTACGGAAACTCTGAGCAGCATCAAATTGCAAGCCTTGAATCATTTTAATTGTCCTACCTAAAACATGATGGAAACGATCTCACCTTGGTGGGAACAAGTTCCTTTCAGTCCTTTAGCACTGTGTTTGGTAGCCACAGCAGAAGGATGCATCAAAATAAATAAATAAATGTAAAAACATTGGAAAAAAGTGTGTGGTTCCAAACTGCAGGGGATTAATCAATTTTTGCTTCCTGTTTATGTTCTGACTAGTTGTCCTGATACTTTTGTCCGTTTTGTGCACTCCGACTGAAGGCACACACCTGACATTTGAAGCGTGTCTTGGTGTTATTTCCTTTTACTCATCTACTAGTTTGAATTAACTTGGTATCATAAGTGTTAAAAAAAAAAATCATCAAGCAAGTCAATGACTGCTTTGGCGGCTGTAACATGACGTGCAGCTAATAGCCACAACCTGCGTTGCACATTGAGCGTTTGCGCGGGTGCTCGTCTCGCGGCTGAAAATGTCACGTTATTGACCGGAGTGCGGATGGGAGCACATTAGCGGCACTTTACTCTGATGCTAATTGGAAAAGTATGAAAAATGTTAACATAACAACTTAGGTACGACAAACATGATGAAATAGTCAATTGTACCGTTCATCTGACACCCGCAAGGGGTCCTAAATGTACACAGAGCCTTTTGTATTTGGAGCATTGTGCTTTCCTCCTTAAGTCCCGCCTGAACTGTGATTGGCCAGCATTTCAGGGCCATTGTCATTTATCATAGCACTCCCACTGATCTCTTAAAGTGTATTCCCCCCCCCCCCCTTCTCAATTCTGCCTTCTCACCAAGACAGCTACAACCTTCCAAATTAGGTCCGTGGAGATTTTTTTTCTCTTGCTGACTCCTACATAAGCGTGCCTAAAAATGTCACAGTTTGGATCCGTTATCAGAGGTTCCTTCACTTTCAGTTCGGTTTTAAGTTTGGCATATGCTGTGATTGGCCGGCATTTCCGAAATCATTAGATCGTCTCGCACTGCAATCACGAAAGCAACACCGCTGATCTCTGAAGGTGTATTCCCACTACATTGCATATTTCAGTCATTTCATCAAGACAATTTCAATAATTCCACTTTGGGACAAGATTTGGGAAGGGTCCTTTTCTGTTCCAATATGGCTTCCGTTGCAGCCCTCTTTTAGTAATGGGATAGCATTTTCGGCATTATAATGGGACCGCCCTGTGGATGTCACTGCCTTGTAAAGGCACCTATCAAAAAGGCAACATGCCATGTTATGTTTGAAATTTCTTTCCTTCTTTCCTTCCCTCTCGAATTGTTTGTCTTTGCAAAATGCTGAACAGAATCCTATAAATGCATTTAAAATGGCTGGCAGTGACTCTTCTGATCCTTTTCTTTTCTTCTATTAGCAGCGCGATAGACCTGCTCTACTCGCCAGGCTCCCCCCCCCCCCCCTTCCCCCCTTCTCCCCCTCCGCACCGCCAATTCC